CAATTATTCAATCATGTGATGAAATAAATAAACAGGAATTTGTTTTTCACACGAGTGGATAATTAAAGTGAATAGTGACAGTTTATTGAGTGAAGATTATTAACTCCTTTAGTAAATCTGCCTACATAAAGAAGGAAGGTGGAGGTTTCAGATGCATCATCTATTTGTTAATAGAGTTACACAATTTTTTTGTAGATATTTAACAATAGCGGGAGTGGTGACAGAAGGTGCTGTAGGGAAGTGATAAGAAGGATGGTGGAGTGGTGACAGAAGGGACTGTGGAGTGAAGAAAGGAGAAAATGTAGAGCAGGGAGCAGAGGAATTGGGGAGTGGAAACAGGAGGCAATGTGGAGCAGTGACAAGAGGGACTGTGGTGAGGTGACGGGAGGAACTGTGGACTGTGACAGGAGGGATTGTTTAGTGGTGACTGGAGGGACTATGGAACGGTGACAAGAGGCACTGTGGATCAGTGACAGGAGGGATTGCAAAGTGGTGATAGCAGAGATTGTGGTGTAGAGACAGTATGGACTGTGGAGCAATGACAGGAGGGACCATAGAGTGATACCAGGAGGGATTGGGGATGAATTTATATCAGTTGAAAAAAAGATGCTTGCTAAAATATCTTAAGCATCGTGCACACTTCTGGGTGTGGTGTTGGGTCTCCAGCTGTGCTCTGTGGTTCCTTTCACTTAGCAAGCCTTTTTCATTATTCTAGCAGCACAGGCAGAAGAATAGGTAAGTAGCCATTGTATGCTTTTTACAAAATAAAAAAAGCAACACTTTTAATATATAATTAATTTAAATTGCACATTTGTATGCAGCCTTTCTTTTGAACATACTATCATTTTCATTTTTATAAAATCATGTTTCCTATCATATTTACTTTTTTTTTTACAAAATGTTGTTTCCTCATTGACGTCTAACACTCTTACAAAGGTCTTGTACTCTCCTAGCTAAATGATTTCTATTACTAAAATATTTTGTTCTCACATCCTTGTCTGCCTCTACATAAATATAGCACTTTATATTAATGTTCAGGAGAATTGTGTGTGTGCCATCAACAGCATTGTCTTATCAATAATATGGGCCATATCAAGCAACCTGTCACAAGAAACTACTTGATATAAAGAAGAGATTGCAGACATCTCTGCAATCAATATTAGGAAGGCTACAGTATGGAAGATTCAGCTACTGCATATCATTTTGTCAGCATCTATTTCAATGACCAAATGAAGCATTAATTCAAATCATAAATCTATGGTGATTTAAATCTAGGAATGAGCACCTGCCTGCTTTAATGATTTATTTTGTACATTTCAGTAAGCAGGAGATTTGTCCATATGAACTGACAGGTCACCTTCAGATGCCAGCAGCCGACTGTTTATCACCAAGCAGACTAACATCTCATCTTAGCAAGTAAATATTAAACTAAAAGAATCCAATTGATTCTGGATAGAATAAGGCACTACAGCCATATTTTTTTCTCTTAGGCTATTAATGCTTTATTTTTATCAGTCCCAATATGTTTTTTCCTTTTTCTTTAAAACGGTAGCTGTTGTAGGAGGATGAACTCAAGGTTATCATTTTAAATTGGAATGTGGGAGATAAAATAATTACCTATTTGCATCTTGGGCTGCCCGCGACTCCCTTTACATTTTGACCTTTTGCAATTCAGCAGTAACGAGTGTAGTGCTCAACTGTTTGCAATACTTATTTGGAGCAATAATATGCTCTATTAAATGCACTATTTCTCTTGGATTACCATGTCATTATCTAGAAATGTAAATATTTGCATATAAAAGAGTTTGTCATTTCTGTATAAAATAAGTTATTTTTAAGTGCCAATGGTGTGTTCAGTACTTAGAATGGGTACACATGGGTGACTAAAGAAGGCACATGTCAGGTGGTTTTGATCCCAACCAAGAGCCTCCTAAATGACACAAGCAACTTAAGCCTATAATTTGGAAAAGGCTGCCTATTAATAACACTGCACCTTCTAAAAGACCCTCCTGTCATGAGACCAGTTGGAACTTAGAACACCACACCAACAGCATAGGGCTAGATTCTATTCACATCAATCACACGTGCAAATTCAGCCTTGAATTGTATTTATAGCTAAAACATTTTTTTTAGTTTTGGATAGAGTGAGGAAGGATTAGAACCCCTGCCATGTTTTACTGCTATCCAGACCCCTGTTAAAAAGATTTCCCCTTACTCACTGTTGTGGGAGCAACCTTTCTCACTGTACAGAAAGTGAATAAAATCCTCTAACACCAACAAAGACAGCAACTCTGTCAGCTTTTTTTTATTTTTTTTGAGATTTGCTCTTTTTTCTGGTAAAAGGTTGTTTCCAGAACAGAAAATGAGGGGAAAGCTCTCTAAGAGAGCCCCAGATACCAGTAAATTATGACTCATGTTCTAACTCTTCCATTTTTAATCGAAAACTTAAAATAAACTTAAAATAAAAGCTATAGATACATAACTTACAGATCTGAAAGTGGATTATCCAATCATGTGAAAAGCAAAGTCCTGTTCATCTTTACATGACTGGATAATTGAAGTGAATATTCATACAATTTATTATACTTTTTTAGTAAAAGAGACCTTAAAGTAATATTAAACCTTATTTTTTTTTCTTTTTATAATTAGGAGTGCCAGAGGTACTTCAATTCACTGTTGTTTCTTTAAACTTTTTTCTTCCCTCATTCTTTAGTTGTCCCCTTAACACTGGCCCTCCCCCCTGTGTGTGGATGTCTCCATCAGCTAGTCATCTGCTGAAGAGACACCTGTGCATGCACGTTCATGGCTGTGCCCGCACCTAGCTGTGTGCGTCCATAGACACACACAGCGTGTGCCAAGCCACGCCCCCCGCCCCCACAGTTACAGTTTGACTGGCAGCCAGCAGAAAGAGCCTATTGCTCCTCTGCCCTCAGTATCCGCCCCAACAACCAGGAAGTTTGGAGAACGGAGGATATCTTCCCCAACCCGGTAGAGGAGGCATTAAGGTAAAAAATACCATGCCTTTAATACTACTTTAATCGTAGGTATGCTTAAGGCCTCTTTTGGCTGAAACACGTTAGTATAAAGAAGATTTAGAACAGGCATAAAGAAGATTTTAACTAGAACTGTGTGCAAACACTTTTTTTCTACATTCGATGACAAGGGGCTGCCAGAGACCTTGGTTGTACACCAGTGTACCATGGAACTGCATTGGAGGAAGAAAATAGAGCACTTTCTGTTTGTCCTGTGGGCTTACCTTTCAAGGTTTTAGAAGAAATTATTATGCTATACAAATTAATACACTTGTACCATTGCAACATTCCCACTGTATGCAGAATACAATCAAATAAACAAATAAATAAGTTTCTTCTCGATCACTGAAAATGTCAGGAGTAACATTGGTTACAAAAAATGGGTATTCTGTAGTTGTACACAGAGTACTAAATAATAAGCTAAAATGAAGCCACATAATAGCTACTATTGTAAATAATATAGAATTATTATCTCTAAGCATTATCTCAATATATATTGCAAATATAATCTGGGATCCATATTAAAATTCCCCAAAAACTCAAAAAATATTATTTCACACTCTCAGACTACACTCTTTTATTGAATATTATGGCATCCAGATAACCCCAAAGATGTCTAACCTACAAGGTTTTTAGGTTAATCTATAGCATAATCCATGTGTAAAGTATGAGGAGACCCTTGGATACCTTGGATCTCAGCTGCTCATCTTTGTCCAATTAGTAGTTGAGTGAAGCATAGCATGAGCCAGGAAGAAACAATCTGCTCAGTTTTCAGAGATCACAAGTAGTTTAGATTGTATTAAAATCAATGAAAATGTGATTTTCTAATAGACTTGTGTGGCAAGTACATACTGTATGGACACCGTGAGGCTGATTTACTAAAGGAGTTATAAAACATTAATTATGCAATTATGTGAAAATCAAATTTCCGTTTGCTTGTTTGCACATGGCTGGATATTTGAAATTAATGTAAGATTTTCTACTCCTTTATTAAATCAACCCATATGGAACAACTATAAATGGGAACACCTATCTTAACTTATGATATCTTCAAAATTTCCTACAGTTCTACCACTAGTGCCTCCACATTTTTTCAACTGCACCTATCTTTCTTCTCTTTCCCCTTCCTTTCAATTTTCCCTTCCTTGTTCTTCTTTTGTTGTACTGTGTAACTGTGTTTGGGTGAAATTATACTGAAACAAACACTTTTTGTAGCTTACATGGTCAAACATAGGAAGATTTGAAGAAATATAGTAAGAAAGAAAATCATTTGACAATCAATTAAAAAAGCAGTCTGATAATTTACCTAAATTTGTAATGGTATGCAGGGAAGCCTAAAGCCTGCACCAAGCTGTTAAAGCAGTAAGTATCGCCTTATACACAGTACCCAAAGGAGCATGGTTTGATTTTTCTAGATGACATTGGGAGGGTCTGCGGTTTTGTTTTTATTTACAGTTTTGTAATGTTTTCTTTAACGCAGCACTCAAAGCCAGGGGCATTTAAAAAATTGTGCAAGCTGAAAACTGGGCAACTGCAAATAGAATATGCAATTTAGCTTTCATCTGCTTTGGGCCGGGAACAAATAAAGATGACTGTGAATCAGTGCCTACAGATAACAGCACTTGCACATTATTCAACTGCTAGACCTGAAAGTTTACTTTATAATGTTCTACTGGTGAGTCCTTTATGAGTTTCTTATTATAACATTGTTTTGAGTGCTAATATGCTACAGTATTCATTAACAAACATTTATTATCTTTTCAAAATGCTACCGGAACTCTAAAAAAATTAAAAAGCAGGTAAGCGGTTGCATAAAAAAGAACCAATATTAAACTTAGACTCTAAATATGTCTGCTTAATTTACTTTAATGCTTTGTGCTCTTTTATTATATACCAGAGATTAGAGATTAACTTTTTTAGCCCATAGCAAGCAGAAATGATAAAAGAGTTGAAATGGCAGATGCTTACCAACACTTGAGTTGAGGTCCCCATTGTCAGAGTCTGCCCCATGCTGTGTATTGCTGCCATGATAGTTGCTCATAGCTTCTAACTTGATTTTTTTAACCTTCATTGCTTCAGCTATTGCAGCGTTGGTAGCAGCGGCTGCTGCAGCGGCTGCTGCTGATAAACCTAGAAGAAATTTTAAAACATATATATATATGTAGTTGAAAATGTTTCAGTTCTGTTACACCTTTTATAAACAGAAGTTTAATTCAGTACACATTCTGGAAGTGTTGCATTCCTGTTTCAGCCAAGCAATTCATAAATATATAACAAAGTGTTTGTATATGTATTCTGTTCTTTTTATCGGGTTTGCATAAAAAGCCTAACTCTAGCCAAAACCTTTTTTATTGGTTGTCTGTAGAGTGGGTGAGAATCAGAGCTCCCCAATTTATCTGTATCTTTATTGGGGAGATTTCTCCTCACTTCCTGTCCCAGTGACATCAAGACAAGAAATAAGAAGGCATGTATATCTCCAGGACAGAAAGGCACAGAACACAATAAAGATCTGACAGCTGTTCTAAGTTATTTTGTCCCCAACTGTAACACACCCTGTGCACAGGACAAGAAGTGAGGGATAATCTCCCCAGCGAGTATACAGACAGCAATAAAAAGTAAGTTTTAGTCCCTGTGCAAAACCAAATCAGAAAAGTTTTGTCGGGAGTAGAGCTATAGCCCCCATTCACACCTGATGAATTGGAAGAACAGTCCTAGAAGCGCTTCAGTGCTTGATGTTCAGATTAATTCTGAACATCATTCATTCATGGTATTATATTGTGCCCATTCACATCTGAGTGATGTGCTGTCGCTCAATGCTCAAAAATATTGCAGGATCTAATTTGCATGCAGCTTATAAATCTAACCTGGCGTCTCCCACTTCTTGTAACTAGCTTTTCATTGGTTAAAACAAAAACACTCAAGCCTGAAAAATGTTTAGAAAAAGTGTGAAAAATCAACACACATCAATCCTCTTGATGAAGATTCTTACATGCTTCTCAATGATAGCTACTAAGCCAGGTCATTAGTGTAACTTCTTTAAACAGTGGTGGATTGCATTTCAGCATCCTTGTAGCTGAAACACTCCTGCCAAGTATGTCAACAAAGTTCACTGCAAAAAATGTAAGGATGGCATTAAGGATGCCTAAAATTTACTTTAACTTTTATGTACGCATTTGGGAAGAACAGTGCATAAAGTAGGAGGGAATGGTATTTCTAAAGCCATTTTGTGCATTATGCAGAATAACCCCAGTGTGTGCACACATGAACTTATTGGCAGTTTTAGAAGATCATAACTGGCTGATGAAACTGAAACATAATTTTTATAAAACTACATTATAAAGTGACTTGTAAAACTTGGATTATATATATTGTTTGATAGCACTCAAAATGTAAAATAATTAACGGATAATAGAGAAACCAGAATGGGATGAAGCTGATGTTTTTATCAGTGCAACAATCTAAAACAACCTCTGTAAAAAATAAGTCAATGCAACTGGACTTATTTTTTACAGATATACCATCACCTGAATGAATGAGAACCTTCACAGACATAAAACAACCTCATTTATCATATGTCTAAACTCATCTATGTTGCCCCATGGCCACCAATTAGATTCTGACTTTCATTCTAAAACCTTCATGTCCTAGAGATATCTCATTTGTGACTAAGGTTGAAACAGATTTTATTTGAAGTGGACTGGAAAAGTGGAGATCTGCTCTGTTTTAGGGAACATCTAGAAATGTCTAAGCAGTGCCCTGAAAAATCTACCAATTGCCTTCTCTTAAAAATAGCAGTGCACATCCTGGCATGTGACTCTGTTTAGACACTCTTGTACCCTCAGGCTCACAGCTAATTATAGCAAGGTGAGAGCATCTCAAGCACTGTATGCCTAATACAGCTATTCTCCCCAGGTTAGGAGTAACATTTAGTAAAGTCACTACTATGCTGCTCACTCTTCTTCTTGCTGGAGAAAAAGCTGCAGGGCATGTCCTGCCTCTACGAAGATGGCTGTCTACACACAGAGACACAGGCATGCTAAGTCAGTCCTGCGGAAAATGATAATTACAGGAAGACCTCTGGCAATACTTAGGACTAGTCGTTTTCCCTCTGCCTGCCTTTTTTTTTACTTTTACAGTGTAAGAGATGTCTCCTCCTAACATGAGGAGAAAAAATGGTAATACTGCAATTTACATATAGTATATTCAACAATAACATAATACATTTCTAACACTTTAGATATACACTGAGTGGCCAGATTTTTATGACCACCCCATCAGTACTTTGTTGGGCCACGAGATGACTCCACGAGATGACTTCGTTGGGCCGCCTCGTGACTCCACGAGATGTTGAAAGGTGATGCGAGGAATCTGACACTGCACTGTTGCCCTTCTGTTGTCTTGTACCAGTCTTGCCACTCTCCGTTCTGCCGTAATATTGACTAGTCGCTGATGGCCACAATTCGCACGTTCAGACCCAGAATGATGGCCACTCAATCTATACCAGCACTGAACTGTTGAAATTGTGAATGTCAAGTAAAAAAAAACTTATGAAAATCTGATTATTTCTAAATCAGTGGTGTAAAAGTTTTAGGATCCTTTAGGAGATCTTAAATCTCACTTATTACTTTTAACCCTTAGCCATTTTTTATATTTCGACTCTAAGAGGGCTAGGGTGGAGAAGAATTTAAATTCACACTGGTGTTCTGAGGTGCTTAATGACATCTAGGCAAGTCACCTCTTACTCTTCCATAGGCTAATCTACAATCACTCTGAGATCCGTCCATATTAAAGTAATACCTCCAATACTGGAAGAACTAAATGCAAAGTATATATCACAAATGTTTCATTTTATCATTGTCATGTTTGGTAATAAAATAGAGATGAGGATTGAAATTTTAAAGCTGTTGCAGATACTAGGAGATTATTCAACTGTCATTTAAAACTTTTACTTCTTACAACAAGTTTTATCTCTGCATAAGTCCAGTGCTGAAAATAGCCAAACTATACCCCTATTTTTTCTTGAGTGATCACAGATAACCCATCAATACACTGGATTTATTCACAATCTCTTAAAGGAATAGACAGTAATTGACACCAGTATCTACAGTCTATTTGTCTTCTATACAGTATTATTAACTGGTATCTTACTTCTATTTGATTATGTAATAAATATACCTCATATATAGAACACATCTTTCTTGTCTACATAAGTGGAATAATGGGTATGCTTAAAAGGGTCTAAGTTGGAAATTGTATGTTGGAACTCTTTGTTAGGAAATACATATGTGTGTGTAATTACTCCTAAGATGCATATGTGTCACTGACAGTTCATGCTGACTGTGTTTAGAATACCTCAGTCTATCAGAAAAGGAGCAAAGACAAACATGTGGCATTACTACGCAGTCTTGGTTCCCAACCATCTGATAGGCAGATGGCATAAAACTGATTGTACAGCTGAAATGTGGTAACACATCGTTTAAATCCTTGTTTGTATTCTAAGTGTTACCAGAGCCATATTGATATACACAATACATCACAGCATTATTGGAAGTGTCTTGTTAGTTTCAATCATAAATGCTTGCAGTCTTGATTTAATCTCTGAGGAATTACTTCCATTGCTGTCAAAATAGTATTTTTAGCCAAATCAAATTTATTTTTTTCTAAGCATCAGTAATGTGGTTGGTTTAATAGCCAACAGCTACATCTCCAATGGTACTAGTTTATCCAAGAGTCATAATTTAATTTACTTCATATCATATTTTAGTTATATGTACCCCATTTTAAAATCAATGTACAGTGCGTGTTTATTTATGTAATGGAGATTAGTCATTAGGGATATGAGCCACGGATGAGAAGTGTATTTCCCCTTTTGCAGACAAATTTGAGAAAAACCTTCTATTTGTTTGTTATGTGTTCCTATTCACACAGCATGCTCAAAATATGTTTAAAAAATATATATTTCTTGGAGTTACTCCAGGAAAGTGAAAGGAAACTCTAGCTGCCCCCATAGAAAGAATAGAGGCCCTCTGAGTTTCCTCTCATTATTATACAATAATTCTAGATCTTTACCCATTATTAGGACATACAGTGTTCAAATCTAGTTTAAAACTGATAATGACATCTGCCACCACAGTACACACAGTGTTTATTAGGTTATAGATTAACTACTACCCACCCTCTACTGCAATAAAAAGTGTTTTTATTGAGTTCCTGTTGGAGGTACCTTCCGTCACTTCCTGTACGAGTGACATCGTTGTGAGATATAAAGTAAGGGAAAATTTTCCTCAATGGGCACAAAGACTGCAATTTAAACATTTTATAAGTTTTTAACCTTTCCAATGCTATCCTAAAAAGAAAATTACATGTATAAGGATAAGTATTGTGTAACTGACTAGTCCGGCTCTAATGACTTTACTGCTCGTGTTGCATTTGTTTGGAGCTAAAAGACTAGCACAAGTTAAAAGAAAAACAGATAGACTCATTAAGCAATTTCATTAAATGAATAACATGCTTAACTGCTTTCAATATTTACTATGTTGAGAAGCGCATACTTCTATTTTGTAGTGCATTCAATATTTCTAGGTTTTGAAAAGATGCCAACACAAAAAAGCAAAACTGTCTACAAGAGGAAGCTAGAAAAATGTTCCAAGTATACATTTGTAAACATGCATTATACATGGGCCAAAATGATCAGTCTTCTCTTTAATATTGCTCTAAGATTTGTGGACATTTTACTACAACCGGTAGCAAAACATAAAAACCTGTTCTAAATTGGGAAAATATAATGAACATTCAAACATAGAGACACAACATCTGTGTCTAAATAAACTGAGCAGATACTTACATAAATTGATATGTGCAAAGGGCATACAGGAAGGAGAAACAAAATATTTTTTTTCCTTGCATTCTCATTGGGTGTATGTGCATGATCTGTCTCTGTACTAGACTTTTGAAAGTTATCAGTTCTTGAATATATCCAGGGATGCAAAGCAACTTTGCTAAATTGGCCTATTATATGTATTTTCTTCCTTTGTCCTCTGAAACTTGCCATCACCAGCCTGTCAATTGTATTTTTTACATTTATCCTGTCTGTGTCCGGATAAGTGCATAATAAAGTTTTGCTTAGATAG